GCATATCAGACCCTGGGCTTGGTGCCTTCGCTCTTGGGGTCCCTTTGGGCGTCTGGGGCTTTGGGTCTCCCGGTGCTGGACTCAGTGCTCTGGGGGGGGGGCGCCTCTTTGGCTCTCAACAACCACTATTGAGCATTTTTTCTATGGATAAACTTTACATGCACAAGTGCACTCTCACAAACAACTACAGGTGCTTGGTTCCAGGTACTCAGAGATTCACTTCCATACAGAAAGCCCATATTCTTATCTTCAGTTAACACAGAGTTCATGTCAGACTAAATAATACTACTTCAGCAATAGTTTCAAGGTGTTGCTTTAGTGTATGTCTCGTACCATGTCTTTCGGTTGTGCTGTTCTTTTTGCATCTCATTGCAGGTGATGAAGCAGATTGAAAATGTTTTGTCATTGTCTCCTTTTTATCTCATCCTACTTTCATCTTTTCTCTTTTTTTCTTCTGTTATTCCTCTTCTGTTCTATTTACATTGCAGTGTCCATATAAACTGTAAAACTCCCTGCATAATTATAATTAAGCAATTTATATGAATTAAATAAGTGGAGCAATATGGCAATTGCCGTACTGCTACACTTGTGAAAGTAAAACGTGTTGGGCTCTTCTTGGCATCAAGACAATTGTTCTTATTGCCACATTGCCAGACAGGACACTTTAAAAAAAATAAAGTTAATGATAGTTTTTTTAGGGTTCAACAATTAATGTGACACTTATGCTTAAAGCTGTGCAATAGGTGCAATTACATTGCTGGAAGACTGTGGCTCCATCCACACTCCTAAAATTGTTGCTTCTATCTTCTGTCCTTAGCTCCTCTCCCTTCATCTTTTTTTGGAGTCGTCAATTAGAAATATATTGTGGGTAGCAAATTAACTCTGGACTGCTGTGCTGAATCTGTGAAGCCTTTAGCATTCCCTCATTATGTTGTGTGACAGAAATGCACATTAATGATGCTTCTCAATTTAGACTACTGCCTTCCACAAAAGAACTACAAAAACAACAATTAAAGAAATGTCACCTATAGCACAAATTTTTCATGCAACTTAATGACTGAATTTATGAGGTTTGATAATGTACATCTATCGATAATTTTATGATATTTACAAGGGGGGTTTAGCCTCTCTAGTATTCAATGAGAAATCGCCACTGATGACCTGTCAATTCAATTTGATTTAAAAACGACTTTATTGATTCAAATAGAAAATTAAATATTGCTGGGACTCATGGGCAGTTTTTCAATTAATTGTTGTATCACATCTTTAGGCTTTGTGCGCTTTGGGGGGTCTGGGGTATCCTCCCCCAGAAAATTCTGAAATTTAGACACCATGAAACACTATTCCCTGCTATCTTGCTAGAATTCTGAAAGACTCTGTTGTTGTTAAACAATCTTTTGAAGACGATGCTGACTGTTGTCCATTATGTTCTTTGAAGAGTTCTACTTCATAAGGTAGAATCTCTCCAGAGAAGATCCTAGAATAGAGCAGGCCTGTTTTATGAGCTTATTGAGTTTTTTAAGGTCATTTGCTATAATTCTCTCAGCCCAGCTGATCGAAAGGTACTATCTTGCCTTCATTTCCTACCTCCTTCCTCACTGGAGAATTATTCAGATAGCTCTTATCATGGCGACTGCTGATGCATGTTGGATTAAGTGTCCTAATGGATTTACAAAATTTGAAAGGAAAACTGTTTCAGGGATTGTCAAGATTTCCTGGAATATAATAATGCTTGTTTAAGATGCTGATTTAGAATCCCTAGATTTTGACACACAAAAGCTCAGAGCGCTAAACTCCAATGTAGAAAAAAGGGGGATAAGTAGCTGGGTGCACTGTTTAAAAGAACCACAATAGAATTAGGATAACAAGCAATTTGTGATGTATATAGGATCTAATATGAACAAAACATGCATACATTTTTGCTTTATGCTGAAGTCAGCTTATTGCAGATACTAAATCATTTATAGGGAGGTGGGGAATTATTTAATTTAATTTCTATTGATACTGCAGTATACAGCTTTTCCAGATTTTCATTTTTCTTCCAACTACAAGTTTTAACAAATCTGGGGTTTATGGCAACAAACCTCACCCAGAGGAAATTCGTCCACATATGTTCAAACATAATCAACAATTAACAAAGAAACAAGGAAAAACACAATTCTGTTAAATTATTTATATGTCTGGGATATTGCAGCCACTGCTAAGAGCAATGATACCAATCTTTGTTTTACACTTTGCTTTTTTGGGACATTTGTCAAAATTATTATTTTGTGGTATTAACCATAACAAGACCACCTGACCAAATGTAAGATGTTGCACATGTGTGCTTGAGTAAACAAGGGACACATTTTACCAGCATAGTTCTGGAAAGAAAAGGTAAAAGTCCAAGATTAAATGTGGAAAAAGTGCAAAATCAGATGGAAAGATGGATGAAACACAAGTAGTTCTTGAAATACTCATTGAATGTTGGTGTTCAATTAAGCTTGAGCTAAAGCTGCAGAAGCTGTAAAACGAGTAAATAAAGACTATCAGAACTAACGCTTGGCATATATTTCTTTATTTGAATAATAAAGAAATTTTCTGTGTTTTGGGTATATGCATGACTGGCCATTGTAAAATTAAGGTTTGTGGTTATAATTTCCAAAATTGCAAGGCACTGTAGCTGTAAAAGTGACTTAAATCAGATGATATCCAAATGATGGATAAATCTTGTGCCTTCCCCACCAGGAGCGCAATGCTGAAGATGCCATTGAGGCTCTGAAAGAGTATGAGCCTGAGATGGGAAAGGTGTACCGGCAGGACAGGAAAACCGTGCAGCGAATCAAAGCCAGAGACATTGTTCCTGGTGACATTGTGGAAGTGGCTGGTAGGTTCCCCTGCACTTTACTTTCCACTTATACACACTGTCTTTCAAAAGTCACATTTGGATGTAATATGGGAACATTTTAAAACTGCTTAAAATTGACCAAAACAACTTTTTTGATGGTAGATATTATATTTTAACATTAGATCTTTTGACATAAATATTTTTTTTATTTAATCATTTATTAACTTATTTAACTCCTGCAGAGAAGTCCTATAAGTCCACGTTCGTCACTATAGAGAAGCTCAAGGTTTAAATCTTTATTCCAAAGAGTCACTTCAGATGTGACTGGCGCTCCAAAATTTTTGCATTTTGCAATATTTTAGTAAAACATTGTTTCCAAAAAAAGGAAAATCAGATCTTTATCTATTTTTATATATTTTGCTATAAATATGTATCTTAATGTATCTCCTTGATCCTCCTGACACTGAGTTTTCCTATCACGCTTTAAGCTCCTGAAGATTCTAAGTCATCAGTCATCAGTACCATGCTTTAAATTAATTCTAGCTCCACAGTCTTTCCTCCTGAAGGTCTAGTCAGTATAATACAGCAGCTAGAAACCTTCCAGATGTGAAGATTTGGCTTTGAAAGTGCCCACTCACTGCATAGGGATGAATGGAAGCTGGCGTGCTGAGGAATGCTGAAGTCCTTAGGAACTGTACCTTTATCTTGTTACTCAGTTTGACCTTCAAGTGATGCTTAGTTTGTGTGCATAACAGAGGGTTTTATTAATAGCCATCATTGGCTGTTAAGATTGTGGAATGCTGTATTTATAGAGGCGCTGACAGTTGTTTAAATGACAGGTGTCTGGTCCCACCCTGTGTGTTGCCTGCTTGTCGTGATCATTGAATAACATTAGACTTTGTGATAACCTTGACAAGGACAAATGGAGTTTCATTCTTCATCTAAATCCTTATTTTTTGGATTTTTTTCTGTTAAAAAAAATCACAGAGGGCAGCTTGAATGTTTTTTCTTCTGCAAGCTTAAAGATGAAATCTGCTCCCCTCCTGCTCCCCTCCTCTGAAAGCTGACAAAGGTAGTGGTAAGCCTTGCTGTCAGCATTATGAGCATCCCAGGAGGCAACAAAGAGTGGAGGTTTCATCCTGCAGCCAGAACAAGCTCGTCAGCTGTATATGTTTTCTAAATCCTCCACACATCTTTTAAAATGGCTCCTGTCAGACTATGTTCTCTTAGCTATAAAGTGATCTGTGCAACGTGGAGGCAGATGGTGATGAGGCTGAACCTTGCTAAATGGCTGCTAATTTGAGATAGATGGGTCCTCTGTGGGTTCTTCCACTGTGGGAAGAAATGCTTGAAGAAAGTCCTGCAGATCTGTTCAGCTGTTTTTAGATTTTTCTTCTTTTATAACTGATCAGAACCTCACCTTTGTGCTTCCCACTGTAACCTTAGTGTCTGCTGATTATATTTTTTTCATTTAGTTATACAACAAAATTAGGAATTGTTGTTACTGCATTTTTTTAATGTTGAGAACGGTTATGAATTTGCTGTCATTAAATTAATTAGATAGTTTAATGACACTGGCTTATAAAGTTAGTTTACTTGAATTTAATCCTTGTCATAACACAGTGCAACATATCAGTTGCCAGTTTTTTGTTTGGGCTTGAGGGCTTTCATATTCGGATGTTCTCAGAGCCACAGAGCTTGCTGTTAAGTCTGCTACCAATGCTTGTATAGGGTGTCCTGCTTTTATTGTACTGGAGGGAGAGAAAGCCTTCACCTTATAGGGAAGCGCTTCTGCAGATAACTTCCCCACCCTTTCTGTGGACTATTGCTACTGTACCCATCAGCACCCACCACTAAGATTCCAGACACCCGGGAGAGTATGTGGCATTTACTGAGGTCTGGCAAATGTCTGTTGTCACTGAGGGATGGCTTTTTGGCAAAAGGCTTTTACTTGTCTGAAGACCAAAAGGGTTGCATTAAACGCCAAGTGGGGAGCCAGACTCAAGAAATGCAGACTCAGATTATCATAGCTACAGACATAAGGGAACAAAGGTTTGTATTTAGATTATCTATTGGCAGAACTAAGGCTTAGCTAAATGTGATTCTATAGATTTATTTAGTCTGAATACAAACTGAAAATGTTATACATTCAATCTATATGCATGGTGTTTTAGGAATGAAATGAACTCACACCAGTATTCCTTTTCATGATTGCATGGATTTAGGTCTATACAAATCTTTAACCCAAAGAGCCTTTTAAACCTTGATGGTAATTGTTGTGAATCCATTTTTCAAAAATCCCAAATATTTTTTATTGATTTTACTCTCCTCTGTTTCATAAAAAGAAAATTAATTTGTTTTTAAACACTGGCTATAATTTAAATAATCCCTAAAAGAGAAATGGAAGTAGAAAGACATGTTGCTATTCAGCCCCTTTTTATTTTCTGCTATTAAGTCTGTCCAGGTGTATCATGGTTATATGATGAAATAGTAATAACATAAATGATAAAGACTGACAGTGACACTGTTTCTGCTATGATTCTGCATTATAATTTGTTATTCTTTCACTTAAAATCCTAAATTAACCTTAGGTCTGCTCACTATAACAAATAGATATGCTCCCATATACCTGTAGGATCACTTGGCTGGAGTTTTCTTCATCGGATGAGTTCAGTTGCCAAGGTTGCAGAAACAGTGTTGTGATGCATTCTTTATTACGGATTTATGAGACAGAAATTAATTTAAATCCTAAAAGACGACAGATAGATGATGCTTTTATACGATGCAGTTATAAACTGATTCTCTTTTAAAGCTAAAATCTTTACATAAATCAAAGCCTCAAACAAGAGGCCAAGAAACTGGTGACCCATTACATATTGTTTTATAGTTATAGAGACTCTTAAAGATACCATAAGCTGAAAGAGCAACCTCCTCAAAGCATTAATTATACCCAAATCATAAAACATTTTTGGCTGTTAATATTCTCTCTTTTGGTATAGTTTTTGCTTCAATGTGTTTTAAATTCTGTATAAAAAATCTACTTTAAAGATCCTTTTGATATCCGAATACCATTCCATTAATTGAAAAACATTTTTGACAAAATAATTATTAGTTGCAGCCCTAAAATGGTCACAGTAAAATGAACATGGAGGAAATAAGTAAACAGCATATTTGCAGACACAGAACCCTTGATAGGCTTTCTTCAGTTTCTCTCTACTTTTAATGATTTATCAATTTTTCTATTGAATTCAGTTATCTATATAGCACCAATTCACAACATGTCTACTTAAAATACTTTAGAAATGATAGCGAAATTTTTGGGGTTTCTTTCCTTACATGGTGTTGGTTTTTGAATTCATGTTGAGTATCTGCACTCAAATAAATGATGCTGATGACCTTATCAGTGGGAGATGCACTGGGAAGCCTGTTGATGTGAAGGGGCCCTTTCAACATGACAGGATACCAGTCTTTGTTCAGCTATTATCAGCACATAGAGCCTTTAGGCTGTTTCTGAGAAAGCCGGAACTGCTGTCCCCTGAGATACAGCAGGTGTAGCTGCCACTCAAAGCTGGAAGGAACAAATGCTCCAAATTAGATGGTGTTTAAACCGCTGAAATAATGAAATTGGGAAAAAACACTCCCTACTTACAAGGTCATTTAAATGTAATGTCTTTTTATTTTTTTTCCTGTGATGTAACACATAATATATATATAAAAAAAACAGATACAGGTAGATCCTGCTCAGTTACTCTTCTCCACTCCTTTTGTTCACTGTCATATGGCTTTAATAAAGCATGTAATTTCCTGTCTTCCATCAAATTAAACCATTTAATGAAGTCCCAATCATATTTATGTCTACAGAGCCCACCACCAGTAGTACCCAAAGCTAAACATTCAAAATAGAAAATGTAATATTTCACGTTTCCGTGTAATGTGTAATGACCTCAGAAACATGGGCCCAATATTCAGCAGACAAACAGGACGGTTTGAAACAAGTTTATTTCAAAAAGGGAGTGCCAGAACTTCTTCTGGGGGGGTTATCAGATTCAGTCCAATTCAGAGTTAGAAGAGAGAGGACGAACCCAGGGGGAGATTGTCCACTGCGTAGGATCATTTCGACTTCAGAGCACAGGGTGCAGGGGAGATTGCGCCAGCCGACTCTGAGCAAGCAGTAGTGTCCGTGAGGGATAATCCAAAGCCCAAGTACAGTCCAAACCAGATTCACAGACCAAGAGATCAGAGAGCCGAAGAGGTATCCAAGGAGAATTCAACACTAGAGTTACTCTCACTGAAACAGGTAGAATAATCTGGCGCTGATGGCAGGCAAGCAAACAGCATAAATAGCTGTGGGAACCAGGTGAAACAGCTGCAGGGCCAATTAGACAGGTGAGCAGGGGCAGATGACAAAACCAACCATTAGAGCCAGGACCATAACACTCTGCTCATTTATAGAGTATTTTGATCAATCTACAAGGAATAGTCTAGTTGCCGATTGGTTTTTTAAAAGTTGAACTGAAGAAAGGAATGCTGGGGAATTCAGTGCAACCAAAGGCCTCAGAGTTGTATAGAGACTGTAGGTGAACAAACGGCATTATGAAGACCAAAGTTGTATTTTCCATAGCATGCCCTAGGTACGTACAAGTTCAATTCAATTCAGTTCAGTCTATTTATAAAGTGCCAATTCACAACACCTGGTCCTATTCAATATTCAGCAGTCTAATGGCAGTGGGGAAGAAGCTGTTTTGGAATCTGCTGGACCTGCAGAGGCTTCAAAGCATCTGATACAAGTCCAGCAGTTTCCAAAACAGCTTCAAATCCTCCTATTGTTGTAGGTCTAAAATGTTTTGACACAACTTACATTAGTAAATTACCAGGTCTATAAGTACATTTTCCCGTGGAATTGTGCCCTACCATAACCCATTTCTGCAGTTTCTATTCCCTCATATGCAAAATTGCAGTGTTAAATAGGATCACATAAAATACTTTGCCTCAAAATTGGCCTGCTCATTACAGAACGGCCTTTTATGGTTCTTAAGTCCTTCATTTCTCTTCTCTTTTCCTGACAGTGATTGCTGTGTTGTTTTCCTCCTGGGGGGCACAGCAAACATGGCTGAGAAGAGTCCATGTATTGAGCTGCTGTACTACTGTAATGCTGAGTTGCTGCTTTCAGAAAATACACTTCTCATTTACTTAGCCTTCATTGCACCAACTACCCAACGACAGCTTTTAACCAGGCACATGCGTGATTGTGTGTGTGTTCCTGTTTGGCCATCCGAGTGAGAGCCATTATTCTTATTTTACCAGTAAAGCGAGGTCCAGTTTTTGCTAATTTAGGTCATTTCCTAGTCCCCACAAGCTGTTTTGCAAGGGGTCAGGTTTAGTGTTATGGTGTGAATTGAATTTAAGGGATAGGTATGCACTGGTATTGGCAGTGATGTGTAGTGAGGTTCATGGTTGGTGAGGCACTGACTCCTTTCGAGTAAAATTTAAAAATATATCAACTTAAAATTGTAGCTTATTCAATTGGCTGCTGGTTATTTTGTAGCGTTTTTCACACACACTCTCTATCACACGTAAGGTACGTATTAAAGATGAGAAAAAATATTACAATTATAGCAGTGAGAGAAAGTGGCATTTGCTCCACACCTTCCGTGTGTTACCCGTTAGACAATTCATACAACACAACTGAGAGTATAGAGTAGCATATAAAAAGACAGATTTGAAACTTGAAGTTTAGTGATATATTTTATTTTTGGCCAAAATGCAGATGAAGACCACACGCCTTTCCTTAGCCACAAAAACCTCTGTTACTTTGTAGCAAAAGTCCTTCTTATTTTCCTTTAGTTTTAAAAGTCTCTTGGCCTAAATAGAGATGATCACCCAGGAAGGAAAGTTTTCCTGAATTGGTCAACCTCTGTGTTGGCTCATCGCCCCATTCAGTGTGGCGGAGTACTGCCCTGCCTCACCCTGTGCTCTTTCCATGCGGCTTTATGTCCCATCAGCAAAACTACCTATTTCACTAACAAAGATTAAATGTAAATGGTTAAAGACATTAGCCAGAGGCTCTGTCTCACTTGCAGTCAGACGCACATCCCTGGGTAATGGTAAGGTGAAAGGTTTTTGTCAGGTTTAGAGCATTGAAAGGGTTGAAAAAAATACCTGAAAATGAATGCTCCTATTATGAATACATGGTCCACACTACATATAGTAAGAAAATACTGTGTGTGTGTCTGTGTGCTGATGAACTTTTTTTGATACATTGTGCAGCCCATTTTAGGGGAAAATGGCACATTGTGTGTGATCGTTTCCATGTACTGTTTGCATAACAACGCCTCCTGAATTTAGGAGCTGCTCAACTGGTGATTAATTTATATCTCAATTGCTTCAGCAGCAGCAATTGTTTATTTATAAGACTAAAGTCAATGGCCTGAGTAGGTTCTGTCTTTTAGTCCTGCCTGTTTGGGTACTTTCACTAATTCGTAGCATTTTTTCATTGTAGTTGGAGACAAAGTGCCTGCAGACATACGCATCTGTTCCATCAAGTCAACAACTCTGAGAGTAGACCAGTCCATTCTGACAGGTGAGAATAAATACATGCTAGTCGATAAACTCTGACTGACCTTTTTAATCAGTTTTTAACTCACAATAATACAAATTTGATAGCATTAATTTTCCTTTTCTGTTTCATGGTATTTTTTTTTGTTAAGAACCACATTTTTAAACTAATACAAAATGTTTATACTTTGAAACATTAAAGTAATGGCTTTAAACTATTAACTGGCATATTACAGTAATAAAGATTTGTGTAATATGCTGGTTTAGCTGTATAATCTAGGTTTCAGCCACAGTCTTTTGGGCAGATGACGCCACCAAAAAATAAAATACATGTTTTAATTATTTTGCAGCAGAACAAGAATTCCATGAAAAACAAATTGATCAAAATATCAGAACAAATGTTTACACACTGACTTACTCACTGACTCAAAGCCCAACCATAATTTTACATTTCTTTGAAAATAACTTGCTCTCTGAGCTCCACTGGAAGAGTTCATGGTAGGCGTGGCTCTTAGTCAAAGGCTGCCTGAGCAAAATCAGTCTTTCAGTTTGGAACTGCACAGTACCCTCTACTAGAAGACGTTGAGCCTGAAACCGAGCCGATACTACATTTTAATGAATTAACCATATATATTGTAAAGGGATCATACTAGACATTGATATTTAAGTAAAGGGATCATACTA